TATTAATTCGAGGGGGGGATGCAGAGGAATTCCATTTGGGGCATCTTATTTGGAGTCCCCAAGGGGCAGCTGTACATATATTTCTGGGGCTCAGGAAAGGTTACTGGGATGTGGTGTGTGACCTTTGTGCCAGTCTACAACAAGCAGGGGTAGAGAGCAAATTCAAACTCACTGTCCCCCTCCTCCCTCCCAGAAAGGAATAGAAAGACTTGATACAAATTTAGAAAATAATGGGTATCATATATTAGAGCTTGGAAGACAAAACAAGTATACTTAATGAATACAACAGCCCAGTTACATGGCTATTAGCCATTGTCTCAGCTTCATGAACAAGGAAAATAGGCTTTAAGAAGATAAAGGGGGCTTTAATGCAAAACCACTAATTAGCAGCAGCATCAGGATTTGAACCCCTGTGTCTGAGTCTAAAGCTCTGCTAGCCACCTCTCTGCCACTGTGTTTCTGCACTTGGAAGACTTTCTTTTACTCTTCTTCTTGGAATCATTAAAAACGTCATTGTAACTCAAAGATAAAACACATATTGAGGGAAAAGTTTTCAAACAATGCCTGCCAGCTAGGGGTTTCCCTAGACCAAACTTGCAACATTGTTATGTCCTAGACTTCTTAGATGCTGTTGGAATTTTCTGAACATGTTGCTCAACTCTAGCTTCTAATTTGGTGTGTGTGTGTGTGTGTGTGTGTGTGTGTGTGTGTGTGTGTGTGAGAGAGAGAGAGAGAGAGAGAGAGAGAGAGAGAGAGAGAGAGAGAGAGAGAGAGAGAGAGAGAGAGATTGCTAGGGCCACACAGTCAGCTAGTAACAACAGAGCCCATACTCTCCCACTTAGGGATGCTTGGCAGTTCAATGTCCCTAGGACTCCATCCTGGAAGCATGGACTAAAGGGGTAGGCAGAGAGTTTTCTGGGCTAAGGACAGGACATGCCCAGGAGCATCTTTTGTGCTAGGTCAACGCGGCTGTTTCAGCACCATGGCCAGGGGCATGCTTAAGGCTTCAGGATCTAAGCACTCGCCACTGAAAGTCAGCTGTGCAGTGACATTTCATCAGTCGGTCTTGGACCAGGGATCTCGGAAGCAGAGGTGGTGGACAAGACCTGGAAGTTGGCCAGGAGGCCTAGAAATTGGATGGAGCATGCACAAAGGAGCTTCTGGACCTTACTGGAACCCCGGGGGAACTTGGCTGGACTCCAAAGACTTGTCCTCTGGCTCCTGCTCCTCTTCTATCTAAAGGCACAGGGTGAAAAGCACCAAACTACTAAACTAGAGCCAGTGTCTCAAGTCTGTTTCCTCCCACAGTGAGTGACCAAATGACCACGGGCCATATGCAAGTCACTTCTGGGATCGATGTTCTCCTGAGTGAGGCCATTCATCTTGCCCTGTACGCTGGCGTTATGAGAGTGCCTGAGATGGGTGCCTAGCCTCAAATCCCCTATAGTCTATCCCTGTGCCTGGCCCCTGGAAGGTAGGTCAGCAAAGGCCAGCTCCTGCTTTTTTCTTGAGCACTGCTCTGCCAGGATTTTGAAGGTTGCTGTATAGTGGGGAGGGGGGGGACTCAAAAGAGAAATGTTGCCTAAGTGTAGTTAGATTTGTTTGTTATTTATTCTGTAAACTACTCCATCCCATGCCTTCCCACGTTGACCTTGGTGCTAGGGACTTCAAGGTGTTTTACACCATTTCTGGTGGGAGTGTGGGTGAGGGGTGGGGGGAGCTGTAACTTCATTCTTTATGAAGCATAGCCTTCTCTCTTGATCTCCCAGAAATCTAGTGAGTGGTTTTTTAGAAACTGTCTCTAAGTTCTTTCTGTTTTGATTTAGCTGAGGCTTGGAGACTTGTCCAAGGTCACACAACTCTGTAGCGCAAAGGGGAAGGGTGCTCCCAGTCCTGCTTGCTTTTGTACCAGCCCAGTGGCCTGACTCCCAGACATTAGCATTCCAACAGCTCTGAGTTGCTTTGTCCTCCGACCAAGGCCGGCTGGGGGTTGGGGGGAGGGGTGGGATGGGGGCAGGGCACCATAAATCTACCTGCTTGTGTGTGCTGAAGGGGTTGGGGGGGTGGGGTTGAGTCCAAGATTCATGTGCTGTTCTGGGAGCTTGACTTGGATTCAAACAAAAGCAGGAAAGGATGAAGATTCACTCTACCCACGGGCTTTTCCTGACAGGACTTGGGATCTTGTCAGGGTCTCTGGGAGCTGGGGACTGATGGTGACCCCAGACCTCAAGACCAACCAAAGAAGGAGTTCCCAGCAGATGCACTGAGCTTTAAAAGCTGTAAAACATCGAATGTCCAGAGAGGCGAGAGGCAAGGTTGTTTTGTAGTTAGATTCGCCACTCTCATATTTCCAAGAAGGGCGCTTCAGTAAGAAGCACACACTGATGCCGCTGTCCAAGCTACAGGACCCCAAATTTTGCAGGAATTCAAATCCAATCCTAAACCCACATCCACCCCCTCCAGACTTGGAGAATAAGCCAGAAAGCTGTGAAGTCAAATCCACACTTAACTCTGGGTAGCAGCTGAGCCAGAGTGCTTAAATTGTACACGTGGACACTCACGGGGCAGAGGGTGAGTCTGTGTCTGTTCGCCTACTCCCCTTAGAGAGCGCTTGGGAAATCTGACAGCGGGTGCCCCTCAGCCTTCTCCATTGTCCAGACACTATCCACTTCAGACAGTCCCTTGTACCAAAGGAGCTCCCACCCACCCTAGAGAAACACTACTTTCCACAGTCTGATGCAGGAAAAGATATCTTTCTACTTCAGTAATTCTCCATATTTTTAGTTGTGCTCCCCCCACCCCGACCTCCTTGGGCAAGTCTGCAGTGCGAGCCCAGGTACTAGTCCCACCCACCACTTATGGCTCATATCTCACGTAAGAATGTTTCTTTGGTCTTGAATGATTTTGCCTATATCTGTGCTACTGTCCCAGGAGGCTGGGGAACCTTTCTGCTTTTCAGATCTGCCTGTACCCCTCCCCCTCCCAATGCCCGACACATAGCCGACTTGGTCTGTGCAGCACGGAGCTGTTGACACCCTGGGCAGTGCCCCAGGTGGAAAGTTGGCTGTTGTTGAGGTCTCCAATAACCGATTAATCTCCTCCTCCCACCAACGGAAACAACGCTCTGTTCATTCACTTGTTTGCAGTGTTCCCTTCCGTCCCCGCAACCCCGTCCTTGATAAGGAAGACAACTCCCCTGAGCTTCCTTCAGGAACTTGGAAATAGAGGAAAATGTTCAGATTGAGAGGGGGGAGGGCATTAGAAAAACACAAGAGGCATTAGCATCAGAGCCTGAGAAACTGTCACCTGGGAGCTCTGGGACAGAAACCACCTACACACATCACAGATCAGTCGCTGGCAGCATCCCACCTGGGTGGGTTCACTTTTTCTTCCCCCTCTGGGTGGGTCCCTGTTATCTGCCCTCCATTTTCTTGGCCCCAAGGGGTAAGCTGTGCCGTTTTCTTCTAGCTCAGCGGAACTTCTCCGAACGCCACGCCTCAGTTCTCTGCGGGCACCTCCAGGACAGCCTTCACCTTTACCGTGAGCCAGTCTCCAGCCACCTAGAGAGCTGGAGAGCTCGCTCACTGGGCTGAAAAGCCAGGGTACTCTATGAGCCAATACACAGTCAGTCAAGGGCACAAGCTTCTAGGGGAATAGAGATCCCAGCTGGACTCTTTACCTTCTCTGCTAAACTGCTTGAAAATGTGGTTTTTCTTCTGGAGGGCGGAATTCCTGGGGGTGGTGTTCTAGGGACTCCTGTGTTAATTCTAAGTTATCACTCTCTCCCTTTCCTAAGGGCAGTGTAGTTCTAAATCGGGCAGATAAGTGTGTGGGGGTTAGGGGCTTATAAAATCACTAGCCCAGTTAGAGATTTGCCTTTCTTCTGAACTGCTGTTGGAAACAGGCAAGTCTCAGAGAAAACAAGACTAATGACTTCTTAAGAGACTTCCTATACTTCGAAAATGACCTGCCCTACCTCCAGTCCAGCACCCAAGGGAGAAGTCCCAGAACCCAGAAAATCCCCATCTCACTCCCGGGAATGGAATTGCCCTACTCATCCCAGCCGTGGCTACCACCCTTTCCTCCCCTTCTCTCAGCACAATGGAGTTACCTTTCTGATCCGTCTTTTATTAGTTAGCTCAAAGTCTCAATCACCAGTCCCTGATACTCTTACGTACAAAATATAAATTTTCCTACCATGAAATAGCATCAATAAATACAAATGTGTAAAATGGGGGAGGAGGCATATAATTTACCATAACAAAATTCATTTCACAAGGCATTATATCATTTACAAACTGATTTTTCCTTTTTTCCTTTTTTAGGGAGACAAGCAGCACTCCAGGAGCCTGTCCCCTGCAGCTCACATTTCAGACACAGGAGCCAAGCCTCGAGGAGATGCTCTCAGCCACAGGCCAGGACCTCCCCTCGGGGGAGGGTAAAGACTCAAAAAGTGCAGAAGGAGAAGGCAGATGATCACCTTCGTGGATTAAGGCAGAATGGAGAGGCCCGGAAACCCTGTATTTGATGGGCAGCAGAGAGGATGAGCATTGTCTATGGAGCAAGGTAGGTGAGCAGGAGCTAGATGAGAGAGCCAGTGCAGTGAGACCCAACACTGGATTAGGCCACCCTGGAGAAAGCGATGGTCAGAGGCTGACAGATTTGAAAGAGAGCAGGGTCACCAGGAAGTGTGGGAGTCTCCAACTGTGGGGTGCTACCATTCTCATCCGCTTTGAATGAGAGTTTGAGGTTGCTGCACAGAGGAGATTTAAGAAGACAGCAGCCCGCAATGCCCGCTGTGCATGGGCAGCAGCTGTGCATGGGCAGCAGCCAGGGTGCTGCGAGGAGAGCCTGGTTGAACCAGTGAGTGGGCCAGGGATCCAGCTAGTGAGAGCCAGAAGGAGCAAGGACGCTTGAGGGCCTCCACTACTGCCCACCTCAGCGGCTCTGGCCTCCTCCCTTTCCTCCAGCACCCACCACCCAGAGCCAGACAGGTCTCTTCACAAGAAGTCTGAGAACACCAGTGTGCCCGGGAGCAGACAGGAGGGGGAGCTGGGCACCTGCAGGCCAGGGAACTCCTCCAGGGAGGCGGTAGGGCTCAGGCTGCCAGCTTGAGAAACTGGGGAGTAGAGAGAGCCCCAGTCCCCGTTGGAGCCACCTCCCGGGCTGCCCAGCTCCCCACAGGGCACAGGGGGCTCCGGCCCGTAAAAGCTGTGGTCCGCTATGCGCAGCGTCTGAGTCAGTGCCCAGATGTAGTTGTGGGCAAAGCGCAGCGTCTCGATCTTTGTAAGCTTGGCGTCATCCGGGAAGGTGGGCAGAACACCTCGCAGCGCGTCCAGTGCCGAGTTGAGGTTGTGCATGCGATTGCGCTCCCGGTCATTGGCCTTCTTGCGCCGGGTTCGTCGCTGCTTGCTCAGTGCCAACTCGCTCTTGAGCCGGTTGCGCCCTCCACGCCGTGCGCGGAGCTTCCTCGAGGTCCCTCGGCCATCACCTGCTTCTGCTTCGGAGCAGTCCCTCGGCATGAGAGTGGGGCTTGGTGGGGTGGATTTGGAGCTGAGCACTTCATTGTCCGAGGCTCCGGAGAAAGGCTGCTGGATCTCTCGGGGCACTTGGATGGTGGGCGCACCCAAGGGATGAGGCGCCATCCTGTGGTTTGGGAAAAAATGGAAGGGTAAGAGTGAGACATTCTTTGCTTTAGAGGCCACCCCACGCGGGATTGGGGTACCCGCTGCCCCTTGTCTATCCCTTGGTGGTTTCTAATTGTTACCTAGTCTTCCGGACGCAAAAGAATAGAGAGCGCTGGGTGGGTCAGTGTCAAGCAGCAGTGGACAGCTGAGTGCCTCTGTTCGCTCCGAAGTTCTGCTGAGCGGCAGGCGCCCTCGCCTGGAATTAATTGCGTCCGGAAGCAGAAGAGAAGCGCCTAGGGGGTCCCCGGCCACCGCCGCTGCAGCGTTGAGACCCAGGGAGATTTCCTGAGCTACAAGTCGTGTGCCCCTTGGCACGCTTTATCTGCTCGGCCCGGGCCAGGAGCGTGCCTGCCCCGCGGCTGCCTGCGCCACCGACCAATCAGCAGCGGGGGCCCAGGGGCCGCGCCACGCGAGCCCGCTCCTCCCACCCCCTCCCACAGCCCCCCCACCCACGCAGCACAGCTGGATTCCGGACAAAGGGCGGGGGGGGGGGAGCAGTGCTCTGTTTGCTCCCCCCTCCCCCATCGCGGGCTCGGTCCCAGCAACTCTCGGTTCCTCAAAGAGCCTCGCCCAGCCAGAAGAGCTCGGTCTGGCTCAGGTCTGGCCGCCTCGGACAGCCTTGCTTTTTTCTTCTTTCTCCCTGGCATCTATCCAGATCCTATCTTGGTAGCGTGAAGGAGGTTTGGGGGTGCCTGTAGGGAAGACCTCTTCTTTGAGTATTTACACATGGGGACTTTTGGTTCAGAGACGGAAGCGGTTTGCCTGAATCAACCAGCGATCTAGGAGTCAAGTGTCTTGACCAGCAGCTTGGAGGAGCACCCATTCGTTCTAAGTTGCCACCCAGCTCTCTGGCACTGTGGGTCAGGATAAGAAACGTGTGTGAGCAGCGTTTTACAGACTCTCTCTATTCTGGAAGGGAAGACAGAGTGACTAGGGAAGGCCCTGCTCAAGTCCTTTTTACTCGGGAGTCCATCACTTGGCGATGTCCAGGTCCAACGACACCGACTGAGATGCTGCCCCCCAACTCCCAGACCAGAGGTGGAGAACCTCCACCAAACTCCGCATCTGAGACACCAGAGTCCATTCCCGAGGCGAGGGTGGTTGTGGAGGGAGTGTAGAGGGGACATCCCACTGCTTCCCCTCAGGGACAGTATCCTGGGGTTGCGGAAGGCCTGACCCGAGAGGCAGGTGATGTGAAGAGGTCAGGAGGGGCTTATTCTCGGCTAGCCTTTTTGTCTTTTCAATGCCACGACGTGCAGACACAAGGAGAAAAGCGGATCTACTTTCTGTCCCCCCCTTTGGTCCTGTCCAATCACAGGCCAGAGAGGGCCGGCAGCTTCACCTAGTCCAGCCCCCCACCCCTCCCCCGCCCCCACATCACTCCTGAACTGTGGGTGAACACAGGGCAGGGATTCTCCCAGCCTTCTGGTGTGTCCCTCTGAAAGCTATCTGGAAATCTTTCCTGTGGGTCCGAAGATGTAGTCCTTTCTTCCCTGCAGACCCGCCCCTCTTGTCCCCGCCTCGGACACCCCGTGGTCTTCTGTTTCCGGTCACTCAGGGTGAGGGGTTGTGGCTTCCGCCGCTCTCGCTCTCTCTACTGTGCTGGGTACGCGGCTGCGAGCTGGGAGTGAAGTCTCTAGGCAGTAACTCTATGCTTTCTAGTGTGTCCTCTTACTCCGAGACTCCCGGAAATTGCAGAAGGGGCCATGCCTTGGCTGGGAGACTAAGGGATGGGGTCAGGGTCGCGGTAGGTCTGTGGCTGGGCTCTAGTGATGGCCCCTGGCTGCCTGGGATGCAGGGGAGGGGAGGGAGCCGCACAACATCTCCTGGGCAGAGGGTGATTGATTTACTTGGGGCAGGAGGGGGTTGTAGGACTGGGTGGGAGCAGTGGCGCTTTCCCCATGGATTCTAAATGATTCTGAGTGAGGAGGGGGATTCCTTCTTCACTGCTGAGAAATTGAATCTGGAGACAAGGCCAGCCTATCCTGTGCGCAGGGTTCCCAGGCTCTATCTTTTGCTTTAGATCTTGCTTTAGGTCATGCCTTGCTTCAAGCTTGTCCTCTGGTCCCAGGAACGGGGACTCAGAGCCCTTTTACAGATGGAAAAGCCAAGTCCCTGAGAAGGAAGTGACTTGCTCAAGATCACACAGCAAATCTTAACAGAACTGTGAAGAATTCAGAAGCTAAGCCTCTTCTTAGTCCTAGATACCCTCCCCCCACAACCCTCGCTCATTGCCATGATTTGGTTTGGGGGGAGAATGAGAGACCCCAAAATGCAGAGAACAGAGAATGTTCTGAGTCTTTGAAGACTGACAGGATCAGACTAGTATAGAAGTAATGGTCCACCCTCCTAGGAAACAGAACCAACACCAGGCAGGGTCAACCTCTCTGTTCTTCTGTCCCAGACCAGAGCTTTGCTTGAATTATCCCCTCCTCCCGCCCTGAAAAAAAATTAGAAACTGGGAAAGTGACTTAAAAGGCGTTCCTAAAGTCCTGAGGCCCAATCAGGCTCCATGGAGGGAACCCGGGTTACAAGGGGACCCAAGCGATCATGAGTGTTCCCCCCCCCCCCGCCCACCCCCCGTTCCTGAAAAGCAACCTACATCTGTGACTCTCATCTATCCTGTGGCTGTAAATGGGGATGGGACTTGTCCTGGCTGGGTCCTGCCCTGTGAGTCTGATGGGCTTTGGCTAGAGCGCAGAGCTTTCCGTGCCAGGGAGAATTCTGAGGGTTCTTGGCAAAATTTCTTGACAGGCAGAGACCCTCTTGGAACTCTTGTGCAGGCTCTCTTTGGTTCAGGGCCCTTCTGGGCTTGTAGGCTGCCAGCAGCCTTTTTGCGCAAAAAGCAGTGAGGATAAGGAGCGCGCCGCGAAGGGACAGTGCGCCTGAGCGATGCCCAAACTCCCTGCTAGTCTTCATTTAGCCAGGAGGCCAAGCTGAATGTCTAGGAGTCCTTGAAGTTTAGAGATTCAGGATCCACGCTCTCTCTCTCTCTCTCTCTCAGCTGCAAAGGACACACAGACCCCCTCTCCAAAGTCAATCCCCGGGTTTTTGGAGGTGGAGGCGGAGGCGCAGTTGACTGCGCAGTGCGCGCCAATTGTGCCTGTAAAACCGCCCTCTGCGCCCCTGAGCAAAGCCTGTTCTTACAGTGAGGGGCCATCCATCCACGGCCTCTGAGGCCTCCAGAACGCCTGCACCCTTCCACCTTGGAAGACCTAGGCTTGCCTGAAGAACTGAGGGATTCTGAGAGAGAGAAGCGACAGCCAGACGCCTGGAGACGGCAGGCAGATTGGAATAGAGGGTTAGGCAGCAGCGGGCTCGAGCGCCTTGCGGTCGGGCAGGGGTAAAGCTAGCATTGCCTGGGGGTTCTTTGAGGATCGAGCGAGAAGGGGGGCCTCCATGGGAAGCTGAATAGCTAATGGCTTGCCAGAGGAGGGGGCTTCTTTCTCTCGCCTTCGCTTTGGCCCTGAAAGAGAGGAAGACAAAAATCTGGCGAGCGAGGCTGCCGGGACCGAGACTGGCCACTTCAAACAGCCCTTCAAACAAAAGGAGTCGACGAAAAGAAAGCCCCACCTGTCTCCAGTGTTTGCTAAAATAATAATAAATAGATTTCGTTTAATAAATAATTACAAGAGATTGTAAAGCGGGGTGCTTTGGAAAACGTCTCCAGCGGGAGTCAGCGCAACCAGCCATCACCTGCTCCTAAGGCGAGCAACTTTATTGTTAAGCCACCCCCCAACTAGTTCGCCTCTGATAAACTCTCCTTGGTCTTCACAATGACTGTTTACTCATAGTTAGCACAATATTACCTTTGCCGTGATAAACCCAAAGGGGGGGAGACCTGGCCCCTGGCCCCTGGCACACCTGTCCTAGAAGCTGACACATGGATTTGGCACCGAGCGGGCCTCCCCCCCGGGGGCCCTGCCCCCGTGTACATTGGCCCAATTGCCACTCATTTATAACAGGTTGGCTGCAAGGCCTATCTCGGTCCTATTTGTCTTCTTTTATTGAAAGCATATGGTCTCCAGGGGCTCACCAACCCCATATTTCATCTGCCAGGAGCTGGGGCGCTTCCGCAGACTGGTGCTGCCCAGCGCTTTGCTCCCCACCCAACGGCTGCTGCGCCAGCTGAGAGCATGGTGGAGGTTGGGTGGGGACAGATAAGGCGAGCTGCTCACTGGCTTTAGGAGAGGGGCCATTCCCTTAGTGACTCCCCCCTCCGGGGGCCCTGGGAGCTCGTGCGCTCTTGAATGGGTGGCTGATTCCTTTTCTTGGGTAGGTGAGAGGGCGCCATATGCTACCCCACAGAGCGCACGAGGGAGCTTCGGCCCAGGGAGTCCTCCAACAAAGGGAGGAGAGGGGCTGGGACACTCTGGAGCACCCGAGGTCTTTATTTCCAGATCCCCCGCTCTGCCTGGAGCCGCCTCCCCCCCGGGCGCCCGCAGCTCGCGCGCAGAGCCAGGAAACAAAGTGTCCACATTATTGCTGCCGCCAGCCGCGCCTGTCAATGCGTGAAAAGGTGCATTGCGCACCCAGACACCTGTTGAAACGGCGCCTCTTCTCAGCGCTTTCTCCAGCTCTGCGTTGGGTCAGGAACTGCGCGGGGAGTGGGAGGCGGGAGGAGGGACAGTTACTGTGATTTGTGGCGACATATGTCGGGCAGCTCGTGTGTCTTCCTCTCAGGCGCGCACGCACCCTCGCTCCCATACACACCCCGCGAGAAGGAGCAGCTGCTCGCCTCACCTTCTCCCGACATAATACCTGGGCCGGGTGCTTTGGCCTCGCCTTTGAGATTCCAGCTTTCCTCCACCCTCTGTCTTCCGCCCCCCGACGCCCCAATCTTGGCAGCTTTACTCTAGGACTTTATTGTCAGGTCTAACAGATGCACGTCTGTTCCCAGCGCCTGCCCCCCCCCCCCCGAACACACACACACACACACACACACACACACACACACA